GCCCACTTGATCGCATAGAACAGGCGGCCATCCTCGAGCTCGTAATGGCCGATAATCTCTTGGATTTCATGGTCGGTAAACTCCGCGCCAGCTTTCGGGCGCTGTCGCATTTCCTGCCAGAGGGATACCTGCCCGGCAATGTTGTAAACCCATAGTAGTTCATCACTGTTTGGCTCATCTTGAGCAGACCAGTCGAGATTCTTGGCCAACACGCCATGGAAGGCGTGGCGCGAAGTTGTCACTGTGTACAGAACGCGTACCACGATTACATTTGAGGACCAGCTCGTTCTTATTATGTCGCCATGATAGACAGTGCTATCTGACCGTGGGAGCTTCATTCGGACCTTGTGACCGCAGGGATACTCTACGGGACGGTAGCTGACTGAAAAGTAACAAGGAGCCGTACCACAACGGCAGCGTTGCAGTAGAGATTTATGAACATTTGACTCGTCCAAATGTAAATCTGATATATAGTCACACGTGGATTTTCAGGGGCTACAGCTCTGATTTTGGAGCATGTCTTGGCTTCAATTTTGGATGTCTTAGTATTTTTTCTGATGCCCTGTCCATATGTGACAGTACAAGCCACAGCAGGGCATGGTCATCCCATCGGAGAGGCCCAACTTCAATGAGATGGCAACCTTCGCCTGTGCTGCCAACTATCCACCTCTATTCATCTCTTGTCAACAAAACCACTTACCATCAAGATGAAATGGAGGTCGCTACTCCTAATCCTCCTGTTGTATTCCAATTGTGACGCCGACTCGAGTTCCAGTCAAGTTCGTCTTCCAATATATTCTAGACGAGCTTTTATGAATCATACGGCTTCATCAAAAGAACAGTGGAGTGTGACAAGCCGTTTGACAACAGATCTAGAAGACTATACGCAGAGTACCGACGTTTCGTTTCCAGGAACGACAGACAATCCAACAAGCTCTACGGTCAGCACGACTTTTGTGCATTCCTACACCGGGAACTCACATACTTTCGCGCAGGACAGTGTGACGACAAAATATACGACGACGGCGAGAACGGTTGACCATGGAAGCTATCTGAATCAGCTTTCGCGCTCTCGAACATCGGAGTCTACCTCAGCTCTGTCGGAATCGACAGAATATTCTGGCACTGTTGATGCGACTTTGTGGATGGTTGACACCACGGATTTCGGCCGCGTGCCATCAACATTAACTCACGTAACAGGTACGGACGATCATTCAAATTATTTTGTCACGTATGACCAGAGTGTAGCCCTATATCACCCTAGTAGATCAGGCCAAGGAGTCAGTCCTTCTCAGACTGCGTCCACTCTATCCAGATCGATTAAAACGACCGGACAGCCAGGAAGTGGCGAGTCTCAGGCTACGGTATCTAGCTTCGCTATAACATCGACGCCACTTTCAACCGACAATGGCTGGTTGATGGCTGCAGACGGCGAGACAGCTGACCTCAATCCATCCTCCGCCTCGCTCGACACCTTTCCAAGCCTATCAATGGGTCTACCATCGAACACAGCTTTACAGTCTCCGCCAATGATCAGTAGCTCATATCATGGAGTTGTATGGACATCGCGCACTATAATAAGTACTGTCGCTGGGCTGAATTTGCCGAGCAATACTGTCTTGGAGTCTGATTTAGCAGCTGTCATCCATGTAATCGAGCCGGCCACCATGACATCTCCCACCCTCATCGCTACGTCTACTAGTGAGAAGTCAAACAAAACCACTGGAGATCAGACCCAAGCATCATCCGTCTTGTTCGAGCTCGAGACGCTGGCATCACCAACACCAGAGACAATCACAGAGATTGCTAGTGCCAGGTCCTCCTCATTCAATGGGTCTGGCGATTTGACCCATTTGTCTAAAACTACAAGGTCTGCAGGATCTACCAACAACGAATCTAATACTTCCACGCATCGTACGAATGCGGCTCCATCCTCAGACAGTGTCACCTCGACGGCATCTATTGTTGACGCGTTCAGCAATAGTCTTTCGCCCGACACGCAGACAGCTGTGGATCAAGGAAGAACGGCTGGAATCGCCGCCGCCACGGTGGCTGCTGTTGGAGCCTGTGGCGGATTGACAGGTTTCATCGCACTCAGATACAAGCGCCGGCGCCAGAGATGGTCGATTGAGAGCTCCAGCCCATCCTGGGTTGGTGTTCCACCAGTAAATGAGCCCTCTACCAGTACACGTGCTCTGATCAGCCAGGGGTTTATCACCCGGAGCTACGGGGTCTCAAGCAATACGAGAGACTCCATGGGCCAGGAGGGAGGAATAAGGCCCCTGAATCCAGCTCGGCTTATCTCGGGCCCAGTCACGACTGAGAACTCCCTTGGCTGGAGCTGAGTCTACTATCAGTACAGACGAGAGAGCACGGTCAGGGGCTGGAGGCTTGGGACGCTCGTATTCCTATATAGGGCGAAGGTTCCCCGTGCTAGGGATGCCATTTCTTTACTTTCTACTACCGTCTCACCACCAGCTTCCACCATGATGCTTCTTGATGGTGGTTTGCTAGATGCCTCATTGACCACCATCAACTTTGGCCCGCCTGAAAGCATTAAACCGATTTGCATTCCTCAAGACTGGCCTTCGACATTGAATGACATCTGTTCTCGAGGCGTTCCCCAAAACGCAGCTTCGTATCAGTTTTTTGACGGATTTCTAGAGATATGGGATGGTGACCGCCTCTCCCTCCCGTCCCAGCCACGTCACGACATCATTGAGAACGGCCGACCGAGCCTTCTTCCCGCTGCTGGGGTATGTGGAGTTTTGCCTATGGCGTCGCCAACCGGACAAGCCAATCGGGAGAGCACCAACAAGCATGTGGCTTTTGATCTGGTTGATCACTCTCAGCCTTCATTTCTGAATTCATTTCTGAATTCCAGAGTTCTACCTGACCGTCAGGTCGAGTTGTTGCTTTCAGGAGGTTCTCACAAAGGCATTAAAAGGAGTCTCGCGGACGCGTTTGAAGTTGATGAACTTGATCGCAGCCGGAAAGGAGGCAACTGTAAGAAAGCCAGAGGAGAGGTAACAGTCGAGTTCGCACATGGGACGATGGGTAGCACGGCCAAGACTGTTCGTAATGTTTCTGCTTGTAAGGATGCTAGCGTACATGATGCCGCGGAATAGGCTGAGGTGAGGGTGTTGAGTATGTTCCGCCAAGTCTCAAAGAAGCACAGACCGGCATCGTTGGCGATGTATCAGAGGAACGAGTCATCTCTATTATATACCAGTCTAAAAGAATGCACTTCAATCTAACCATTACCAGACCACTTACTTGAATACAGTGTGTTTATGCCCCCGAATATCGCTGCAGCATGTGTAGTAGCTTACTCGTGTACTTGGAGAAGGACCGCTTCAGCAGAGACCAAATAAGTCGCACTACCGATAGGATTCAACGAACAAGCCACGCGGATGAGAGCCGAAGTCGGCCTCCCTAGAGCTTGGAGATGCCCCGTCTCAACCTCGACCTTCCTATACTTCTGCCTGGCGATCGACCCACCTCGCAGGAACCTCTGCCAGGTGCTTTTGCGGCCACCTGAGGGGCGAAAAGTTATCCGAAAAGAGATTTCCATAGGATGCGGTATCTAAAAGTGGGGCGCCAATACTCTTGCTAGACACTCAATCATGATACATAAGATCACTTCAGGAACGACCAGAAGAGGGCTGTATCCAAAAAGGAGCCTTTTTGTTCAGGAAGTTTCTGCTTACACAAACAATACTGTTCTATAGCTACAGTATGGGTTGCCCTGATCGTAGAAATAGCTATTAAACATTAAATTACCGCTGCTGGTTAGACATATCATCACTAAACCCCAAACCTCTATTTCAGATAGGAGCTCACCTTAATAAAATCGACAGCGCAAAAAGGCTGCCACTGGCTCGTTAAAGCACTTGATTATATCTCTTCTACTCTTTTCCCAAACTATGCGGCAGGCCAAGACCGATACTACAAAGCA